GTTTTATTTTGCCACTCAGTGCCAGCAGCCAGTGCCAAGTGCCACGTTGGTGTTTGTCACCTCTACGGTGATTTTGCCCTGGCACTAATTTTGCAGTGTATAGCAACGATAACCTTATAAATCTGGGGCTTACAAGGAGGCAAGGACAAAGAGGAGTAGGCATGAGATATTGAGATATATGTGTATAGATGTATATATTTTATTTTACCTTTTTTTTTTTTTTCTGTGGGATGGATCGTTGCAGACACTGACTGCCTGGTGGGGGCTGCTTGCCTCTTACCTCTTGGTTGGTGCCAATGTGTGGGCATTTCAGCTCTTTTTATAAATATTCAACAGGAATAATAACAATAGAATCACAGAACGGTTTGGGTTGGAAGGGACCTCAAAGACCATCTATTCTCACCCCCCCTGCCCCGGGCAGGGCCACCTCCCACCAGCCCAGGCTGCCCAAAGCCCCGTTCAACCTGGCCTTGAGCCCTTCCAGGGAGGGGGCAGCCACAGCTTCTCTGGAAAACCCATGCCAGGGCCTCACCCCCCTGCCCCCAGATGATAATTTCTTTACATATTATAATAATAATAACAGCAACACCTACAACAACTACTACTCCAATAAATAACAAAGAACAATAATAATAGAACAACAAAATAAGGAAAAAATTGAAAAAATGAAATAGTAAAATAATAAAATAATGGATGAATAAAATAATTAAATAATGGAAGAATAAAATAATGGAAGAATAATACAATAATATAATGAAATCACAAAATTATAAAATAATGGAATAATTTCATAATTAATAATGAAATATTAGAATAGTAAAATAATGAAATAATAAGAAACTAAATAACAGAATGGCAAAATAACAAAAATGATAAAATATGAAATAGTGAAATAATAAACTCAGTGTTCTGCCCATGCAGGAGCGGGTCTGGGGGTGCTGGGCGCCCCAGGGGTGCCACGGGCCGAGAGTCTCTCGAGTCAGTGCTGAGGCTGCGCTTCCCCCAGTAGTCCCCAGGCAGCCCCAGTAGCTCCCAGTAGCCCCGGTAGCCCACGGTCAGCCCCGTCTCGCCTGTCCCCCACCCGGCTGGCTCCACTGGTTGAGCAGCCGTGGGAATCCGCCCCAGTGCCCTGCACTCTGGAGGGGCGGAGGATATTCACAAGCAATGTGTTTCCTCTGCTCCCAGCACTGCGTCAAAAGCAAACAAACAGGAAAAAGAAAAACAAAACCACCAAACAAAAGCAAAACAAACCTCTTAGCCCCCCCACCAGACGCCACAAAAACTGGCAGCGCTGCTGGTGCTGCTCTGCTGCTTGCATCCACTCTCGGGTCTAAATGGATTTTGAAATAATTTAATTCAAACTAAAATCGAGTACTTAGCATGCGACGTTTTTACACTTTTAAACAAGATTTAAGGTGTAGTGTCGGCGGTAAAGTGTGTGCTGACTTAAAGGACAGGCTTGTTGGAGTCCTACGTCCTCATCTGTATGGATCGCAGAAACCACCAACCCAACCTCCCTTCTTTTTTCCCCTCCACTTCACACAAGACTCAGAATTATACACAGGATTCCCGATTACGATCGGAGCATACCCCGACAGGTAAAATACGCTCATTTGCAATATTAGCTAAGTACCCAACACCTTTCGGCTTAGTTAGGAGAAGTTCCTGGTTTTGCCATCAGTTTGGTGTGTAGTGGTGTTTCCGTGTCTCACAATTCCCTTTCTCATCATAAAACCAGCTGCAGTTGTTTATCACCGACTGAATTAGCGCTATCAGAGTGTTGGACCTGTTTGATGTCGTTGGAGAGGAACCCACTTGTGCATCAGGAGGTGAAAATACCGATGGAAACTCCTCAGGAGTCCAACTGCCGAGTCACAGCTTTGCTAGGAGGCACTTTGTGAACTTAGCTCCACATATCGTGGAAAATCTCTGGTGAGAGCTGGTTAACGAATTGTGCTTCCAGTCTTCCATGGGTGAGGCCAGATCTTGAGCTGTGCTTTTCAGCATATCTCTAGTTCTCCCAATAGCTTGCATCACCAAGGGGAATATATTTCGACCTGTCTGATTGCCTTTTGCATGCGCCGTCTCAGATATGCCTGTCGTTAATCTATACTGCAAGTCACGTGAAAAGATACATGCAAAATGAGCAAGGCACAGGCCTACATTATCACTTTTATCTAAACAGTCTGGGGTAAAGTTCGTTCGTCAGGGAAAAGAGTTTCTAAGAATAACAGGTAGTTTTAAATTGCTTGATTTTGGGGTGCCCAGACTGAAGCAGCTGCTTTACCGAAAGCAGATACCAATACCTGAAATGAGGTTCCTTTAAAGTAAGTAAATACAAGCTAGATGTGGTTTGGGATTGGGTTTTTTTTGTTGTGTTGTTTGTTTGTTTGTTTTTTTGTGGTTGGTTGTTTGGTTGGTTTTTTTTTTTTTTTGGCAGAGGGTGCTAAAGCACTAACAAGGAATGTTTCACTTTGCATTCACATTGTACACCTTTTCTGAGCTGAAAAATGTTAGTTGTTTTAGGCTGATGGTGAAAAAAAAAAAAAGTAATTAAAGTCAGGGTGTTCAGTTTCTCTCAAACTTTTTTAAAATTAGGCCGGTTTTGCTATTTTTAAAAGTGCATTGGAAATGACCATTTGACTGTTTTATTTTCTCTCTGTGTTTTCAAAAACCACTGCAATGCATTTCATTAAAACCACATTTCTTCAGTGACTTTTCTCTGCAGATGACTGTTAATGTGCCACTGAAATGAATCAAAAGGTCTTTGCCTTTTTTTTTTTTTTTTTGTCAGCCCATCTTTTCTCTTATCTCCAACCAGGACTCTCAACCTCCCTTCAAGGTCTGATCATCCTCTTACATGTGGACGGCTTCACTCATCTGTCCTTGCCTTAGTCCTTCCTGCTGTACTCATTCCTCTTGGACTTCACTGTCCCATGGCAGCTGTTGAGATTGAAGATGTGGTGGGTACTGCTGCAGATCGGAACAAGTGACAGATGAGGAAAGAGTCTCTCAGCAAAAATGCTGACGAACTTGCCCTGTAGGCTTGAGGCAAGATTATTTTCAAGGGCAAAGGAAGGACGGAAACAAAGATTACTCAAAAGGCCAGCAAGGAGTCTGACAAAAGCGTTTTTCTCATCTGATGAAGACAACTGCTGTCAGTAGTTGGAAGTAGAGCAATATAGAGAGATATACAAGCCTCAACAGGGGGAAAAAAGGGTTTTATGGCCTGAATGACATTAAGTTCCCATAAACTCAGGTAAGAATGAGAAAACAAGCAGCATGAGGGAGCTCTTGGCTTGTTTCATTTTATCCTTTGAGTTTCTTATCATATTAAAAGCCTGTCCAGGCTTGGAATAGGGGACACTGAGAAAAAGTCGCCTCAAGGAACCACACAGACCTCCTGACCTCTTCTTTGCAGCTGCAGAATACCTGTGCAGCGCTTGTGACAGTGGGTGCAGTTAGTTCAGAGGAGCAGACAGACCGAATTCCTGCTCTCTTGCTTTCCCTCTGATTCAGCAGCTGGAAACAGGAGAGCCCGGCACACTGTGACCTGGTTTTTGCACTGTCCTTCAGGAACTTGACAGCAGTCCAAAAAGCATTCCTCAGATCACAGGCTGTTGACACAGTACCTCAATACGAACCGTGAGCAGGCTGGATTTGTTCTATATTTACTGCCGCTGGCAGCGGTCGGGAACGGGGCTGTGCTTGATGCATTTCTAGCATGCTCAAACCTCGTAAGCCCCAGAAAATGAATGTTACACAACAAATTGAGTCCAACATAACCGGGCTTAGGGTATCGCCAGGAGATGCCCCTTGAGCTGATTTGCTGATTGTTAGCCATGCTGTCATGTTTCTCACCCTTCCTGCCAATGGGTGAGCTATGCTGGCAGAAAACGATTTTTTTTTTTGTGCTTGTTTTTTTGCCAGTTTAACTCCCTGAGCTGCCTTACTGTAAGGCCAGCCGTGCACCAGTGCCAGCATGTGGGAAAAACAGCAAGTCAGATGCTTTGGTGCAAAAGAGGACAAGACTCATCGCTGTATTACTATCCCCATAGAAATAATGAGGACCAGGAAAAGTACAAATGAGAGAAACCTGGTATATGGAGAGTGATAGGAAAATTTCTGTCTTTCAGCAGCACCCACAGAAAATCCCTTTTGTGAAGAAAGAAAGGATATCATTAGGTTGAATATTCTTATTCTTCAAAAAAAGAAAGATTTCAGATCTCTGAAAAGTAAAAAAAAATGCTCATTTTTTTACCCCTCCTCTTTTTTTACTATCTAATAATCTGTGGTAACTTTATGCTTACCTAAGAAGCTAAAATCCCCCAAAGTAAGCATTTGAAAATGGGCTCAAATTCAAACGGCGTGTAAGCTTGCATGTGCACACAAGCTATATAGCTGTACATTCATATGTGCAATTTTCTTATCATATCTTCATCAGTGAACTCTATGTACAGAAGATAGAGAGGTGGTTTCTCTTCCTCTCTGATTTCCCTTCGGTTAGCTGAAAAAAAAAATTAAAAAAAAAAATCTCTGACTCATGCTGAAATGTATTTTCTATGGGTTTATGATGTTTTTAACTTCCAGCCTCAGTTTCCAAGCTAAGGTAGGCTAAAACAAAGGGAGGCAGAACAATAGCCTGAATGTGAACGGAGCCTTCAGTCATGTGCTATGTACCCCTGGAAAGGAGAGGGGGGGTGAGTCTCATTAAAGTTTTCCAGTGCATACCAAGCAGAAAGTAGAGCCCAGAGAAGAAACATGCAAACCAAGATTTCTGCAAGTGATTCAACATTTTATTTTTTTTCCCCTTCTCTTTTCTCCAGTAAGCTAAATTTGTTGTTGTTCCCACAGTGAGACCTCAGACTGTTGCAAACCAATAATCGCAATTGCTGCAGAATCCTTGAGGGTTCACCTTCTAGGTCTTCAGACCTGCATATGAAAGGCCAATTTATTTATTTATTTATTTGTTTGTTTGTTTGTTTATTTATAAAGTATTGATTAAATTTGAAGTGTGGAGTCATTCTTGAATTTAAAGGCAGCAGATCTGCTGTTGCATACTTGCTGGTGAGGACTGGCATGGGAAGGGAGTGCTCAGAGAGAGTAAATCATTCTCTCGCAGGGTGAATGAGGTAAGAATATTACAGGGGTGCTGTGCTGCTCTGCTGTGGTTACACATCCGTAGCATACAGGGGCCCGTCGCCCACTTTCACTATAATGCTTTCAGAATAAAAAAAACACTACCTCTGAAGAAACAGGAATCCCCTGCAGAAACAGAAGCGTATCTTGTGCAAAACCCCTCTGAGCAGAAGTTCAGAGCAGCGCTGGTGGGTCAGCAGTCTGAAGTCAGCAGTAGCTTGCATAAAGCAAAACTCATAAACAAGCCGGTGAGTCAAACTCATTTCCTTGACTAACAGGAATAGGATTTCATAAACATAGCAATCACTTTGTGCTCTCCAAACCAACTGTGAACTGTGTTAGCCGGTTTATGGGGGGGAAGGCAGCTGTTTCCAGCAGCTCTTTTCGAAAGACTGTTAGAAAAGAGGCTCTTTCAGAAAACACACTCGAGGTTAGACTTTGGGTAACGGGGAAGTCCTTTTAGTAGGACTTGTATAACTTGGTAACGTTGCCTTATTTCTGACCTGCTTTGTGTTGAGCTAGCTCATTCTCTTTAATGTTTACTCTATGTGTTATGTAGTGGTGGCTTTATGGCCTTTTTTAAATGTATTTGTGCAATTAAATGTGTGTTTAAAGAAATAGTTGGCAAGACCAATGCAATTAAGACCCCAGTCCCATAAAATTCTCTGTCTTTCTGATGAGGCAGCAAGGACCTCCTACTCCTCTTTTGTTCAGTGGAGATTCACATAGATCAGACTTGTAAGGGAGTTAAGACCTCACTCATGCAAGTACTTTACATTTTGAATTCAGAACGCTGTTTTGGTCTCTCTTTTTCTTATTATTTTTTACCAGCCTTTTAGAAATGTTGTGTTTCGGCTGATCAAATAGAAAATGCGTTCTGCGTTCAGTTTCAGCTTCACTCTGGAGGGTATATTTTAAAATATTTTAGTGCACAAAAAGCTGATGGTCTCTTTGGTCTTATTCACAAATATTCTGCCCTCGGTCCTCCGTGCAGCTGCAGACCAACTGCACTCCATGAACACACTTCCATGGATGTTTCATGCCTGCAGTCATGCAAGAGGCTTGGGTGTGGGTCAGGGAATGCAAATAACATGTTGAGGCCCAAAGTCTGGTCTGTTGCCTATTGTGGATGATCGATGTTACTTACACACACCCCCCTGCAGACCTCAGGCCGGCGCAGGGTCTGCAAAATGTTCCTCCATTGTTCTGCAGGCGTAGAGAGCATCCCTGCTCTTTGCCATCAGTGATCCCATCTTAAATCTTTCATGGTGTTGGCACTGAGAAGGTATTGAAACATCACAGTGTACTGCTAACCCTAAGGGCTTGGTAAATAAACCATAAACTGTGAAGGAGGGAGATGAGTTTTTCTCTTTATCTCCCTAACCTTACTACCTCTTTCTTGTTTCTCAAAGAGATTTATCTTGCTGGAAGACCATGCAGGTGATTTGTATTTCGTGGAAGGCTTCAGCCCGGCATCCCCCTTTTCTCTGCGATGGGCTGTCACCGTGTCTCCCACCCTTGCCACCACTCTGCTTTCCGTAGGCAAAGGGAGGAGTGGAGACATGCCTTGCTGCTGATTGCAACCACGCTCCACCGCTGGGGCAGAGCAGTAGTGGGCTTCATCCTCCTCCACGTCAGCAAGGCGGTGGCAGGGCCTGATGGAGCAGGGCTGGAATCATCACAGCACAGAGAAATCTGTCCGTCCCCCATGACAAATGCCTCTCACACTACGCCGCCGTCCTGCTATCCAGGCAGTCTTCATGCTGTCAAGATTCTGGAGCATGCACTAGCCTTTAGAAATTAAAACGGGTTGGTTGACACTAATTTTGTTCAGTGTAATTAGACGCCAGCAGTCTCCAACATTGTCAGTGGGGAGCAGGAAGGTTTGTTCTGCCAGATCTGTATTATAATTTAACAAAATGGATACCAAATGGATTTTTTTTTTTTTTTTTTTTTAAGTAGACTGTATTATTTTGTCAGGATCCTGTGGGATAAAGCCTAACCTATATGCACTGGACGGCTACATGTTATTATTTCTATGGCATCAACTCATTGAGCGTAACAAGGGCTTCTTGTGTTCCCCCTTTTTTTCCCTCTCCCAGCCCCACTGTGTGCCACTTGTTACTTCCCTGAATTCCAGGAACAAATCTCACATTTCTTGCCAAAAGTTTAATCCACATTTTTTACTTGTTTAATGGCAAGGGTCTCTCTATATACTTCCTCTCCCCAACTCTGGGATTTTTATGTATTTATCTACTCATTTGTACCTTTTTCCCTGTTCCCTTGTGCTTTTATGCCTCTGCCCTTTACTGCTCTCGCTCCTTTCTTTCCCCTTATCCTCCTCCTCTTTCAGGATGTGAGTGCTTTCAGAAGTGCATTAGAAAGTTGACAGAGCTGAAGTGGAACAACTTCCTTGGAAAAAAGTCAAAGATTGCTAGAGTTTGGAGTTCTGATGATCACATTCCAGTAGACTCATGTCTCCACCCTGCTGTGTTTCTCCTTTTCCCAACGACAGCACTAGAGTTTTGCCCTTTTATTTTCCCTGGAACTTCAGAACTGATTGAGTACGTGTGATGTTCATAAGCTGTTGTGTAACATCCAAATGGAGCAATATCTTCAAGTTGAGTACAAGACCTTGCAAGCTCAGTCAACAATACCAAGAAGTTGAACTGGATAAGACAATTTTGTCAGTTGGTGGTAGATTGTGAAGATCTGGCAGCATCTTCATCCTTGGGGTTCAGAGGGCTAAGTGGGTCAGGACAGGGAGGACAGCCTACCTATAGACACAAAGCTTTAAACAAGTGAAAACCCAGAAAACTCAAAACCCCTTAACTCTGAAATTTTGGAGGTCAGATTACTTCTGGCCAGTTGCTTGTTTTTCAGCCATGCCTGTGTCTAAGTGAATGCAAACACTGTAAGTGAAAGTTAACAAAAGCCCAAATGATTGGCTGGCAGACTGCGATGATTATTCATACTACTTTGCTATATTGTAAATATTTCAGCTAGAAAATATAATGGCTACAATCATTTCTGAAATATGTTTGGCAGAGAAACTTGAAATGGAAACAACAAAATAAAGTTAATATGCCTTTTGACTTACGGTTATGCTGAAGTCGTAGATAAAACCTTATTGTACCTGGTATGTGTAACCCCATGTTATCATCTAGGATAAAGTTGACAAACATTTAGTCTTCTCTGTGGAAGCAGAGAGATAAAACAACGTGCACCACTGCTGAAAACAGACACTCAGTGAGATAAAAAGTTTAACCTTACAGCCCAAGAGATTTCCTTGGCATGAGGTAGTAAATACAAGGACAGGAGCAATAACTGGCTGGGCTACGGGAGGGAGAAGCATTAGAAACTGTTGCTGACAAGCAAGTGGCAAATAAATCTCAGAAACAACACGAGAAACCCTGATTAGACCTGAAGGAACAATTTTAAGTGTCGTTGTAAGTGAATCACTCGTTTAGCTTGACAGGATCAGTTGGAAATGAGTGACATATACCAGCTTATATTAAAGTTAATCTATAGATGATTTGTATAAATTCCTTGAGCAGGAATTCGTAATAGTGTTGGGAGTGCAACAGGAGGCTCTGCTGCTGAAGAATACCTCCCACAGTAGGTATTGAACTCTACTTCAGGCAACCCAGTACTCACATTTACATTAGGCTTTCCACATGTGTTTCAGATCCAATTTATGTCAACAGTAATTGAAAGCTGTTACCATCTGGGTTTTGGGTGGGCTACATGGAATGAGTTATTATGAAATAAGTAACTTCTAGTGTGAATTAAATATCATTTGAAGTCCTCTGGTGGGAGCTGAGTCGAGAAGCCAAATAGCCCTGACTTGCACAAAGTTTGAAACTGAGGAACCAAATTTTACTGGAAGTAAAGAAAAACGTCACCTTTACTCTGGACAATAATGCCTTAAGGTATAGGACCTTCTATATGGTGATATTTGGTTATTTCACAGAAACTTCAAATAAGCACCGCATGTCCGTAAGTCTTGTACTCTGCAAAATCTGTAATCTATTATTTTCGTTCTGTATCTGGTGCAAAATCTACCTCAACCCTAACAATTCTATATTTATAAGCAAGAAATTGCTAAACAAATAAAAGAGCTGGAACAGATGTTAACCTCTTCACTCTGGGGAAGCCAGATGTAAATTCACTGCAGGAGAACAAATTCAGTAACTGGACTGCCTAACAAATTTGATACCTAGTGATATGTGCAAGTTCTTTCTTTTTATAGAATTGCTTGTTTACCTTTCAGATCTCCATATTGCAAAATAAAGGTATTCCTTGTGATATTCATGGCTCCAATAAAAAAAAAAAAAAAAAAAAAAGGTGAAATGTGAATCTTTGAGTGAAAATTCCTTTGACTTGGATGTTACATTAATAGGCACATCAGATACAGACAGATCAAGGGTTTGTTTTCATAACCCCATCCTGCTTTTGCAGAAGTTAATGGGACTTTTGCTACTGTCAACACTAAGAATCAGTTAGAGACTACAGGAGCAGTTGCCAAAGGCAAGAGCTTCAGAGTATATGGGGAAAAGTAACCATGGAGATCTACAATACTGACTAACAGAGAACAGGATTTGACTTGGCACTGCCAGAGGTGCCTTCCAATCTGTGTTATTGGGTGTTTCAGTGACTGTTCACAGCTCATTACCAGAGAGATTCTGCTTTGAAGTACCTACTGTATTAGTGATACCCTCTAAACGGAGTAAATCCAATTTTAGCCTTGATATCTTTTTAATTTTCTGAAAAGATCATAGTTTCAGCCCTAGGGGATAGTGAATGACATGAGCAGTGGGAAAGATACCTGCTCAACATATTTCTCTTTGTGGAAATACGGTGGAAGAGGTAGTTATGTAGATGCTTCAGTAATCTTAGGCTCAGAAATTGCCTATTATCTTCATACCACTCATGGTTTTGAGAGTCTGACCCTTCTGTAGAGACCAATAAAGACAGCAGGACTTTTTGATTAAATAGCTGGCAAAAATACCAAACTTCTAGGAAGGGCATTGAAATGCTGGGGTTTCAACCCAAGCCCGAAATCAAGGTTGACACATGGGTGATTCCCACAGCCCTTCCCAAAGGGGGGTGAGTTTCCCTCCAGGGTGGGCGGCCTGGCAGACAGAGCCGTTGGGTAAAGGAGCCCCAGGGGTCCCGCAGTCAGTAACCCAAGGTCAGGTGTCCCACGCAGGGATAACAGCCGGGACCCCTGGCAGGAGGGGCAGTGTCTGTGTGTGAGGTGGATGCCCTGTGCAGAGTTCCCTGTTGGGGAAGGACCTCCCGCCTCCCTGGGACTGGGCTCCAGGCACGTCTGGCCTTTGTAAACGCGGGCTGTGTGGAGATACAGTGTGTGGCTTCCTTGGTCTGATGTGTTTGGCTTGTTGACTCGGTTGTCTCCCGTCCCTTCTATGGGAGATGCATATCACCATTTATCCCACCCATTGCTGGTCGTGCAGTGTCGTTGGGGTCAGTGGGATTGATGTTGATTATGTATAACCTGACTGACTTGTTTGTACCCCCAGCACTCACCCATGGACTGACCCTTTTGTATCAAATACAGTTTGGTTATTGGTTCATCTTTATGCTGGCTGTGTCCTTTATGCTAGGCCTGATAACTGGCAAATCAGGCATCTGTGCAACATAACATTCAATGACCGTGCGAGTGTTAATTAATCACCAGAAACATCCATACTTTTCATCCCTGAAGAACCACCCTCTTCTGGAAGGCAGAGCTGCAGTGATGTTTCATGTCACAACTTCATGACATCACTAGAGAATTTTGGCCTAGGAAGTGGCATCCGTGGCTGTAGCTCATTTCTGTTTTGTGGGAGCAACGAGGTTCTTGTTTTGGTGTTCGTAAGTGTAGTCACTCCCCCGCAGCAGCCACCACTCGAGCCGTGGGTGTTTGTCCGCACGGAGTAGGTATTGTAGCCGTGGTGTATGCCATGTCCTTCAAACACAGCCATCCTCCCTCCAGCCTCAGGGCCAAGAAGGGAATTTTCCTTCACCTGTGGGTGTTGTATAACCGTTCCCTTCTTGGCCATAGGTGTATGTGCTATCCAGTTATTTTGGCTTCCACGTGAATTACGGAAGAATGACAAATAGGAGAAACCTACTGAGAAAACAGGATGAAAGTATGATTACTGCGTTATTACATGGTGTTTAATGCCATGTTGTCAGATGGCTAACATCCCACCGTCCTTTGTTTTTACATGTGCACAGAGTGAGAACTGGAGAAGACAATAGCTGCTGCCTTGGCTGTAAGTGCCCCGTTCTTCACTCTTGCCCCCATGCTTGTTGGGTTTATCGCCCCCACTAAGACAGGGGAGAAGTGAGTTCAGACTCAGCAGACTTTTCTGTTGGTTAGAAACGATGGTACTGGTTGTTTGGATGTTGGAGTTAATATTTCTAACAAGGATAAACACAGGATGAAAGAAAATGGAGAGCAGCTGGCAGACACTCAGCAGACTCCTCCACCCTATCCCTTCAGAGAATATTTTCTTAGGCTTTGTAACTTGGTTCTCAGTAATGTTAAGTTCCATTTAAGATGGATGTAGAAATACGTAGTATATGTTTTTGAAGTCAAAGCAAACATTGAAGAACAAATTGTGAAATTTCGTTTGGCAGAGGGAGGTTGCATCATTGGCTTTCCTCTCAGCCTCAGGAGGTTTCATAACATCTGAAGACATCATCATGAGTGTGAGAAAGTTGACATTTAAGAAAGAGTCTAAGAAAGGGGAAAAATTTTTAACCATTAAATGCCAAGGATGTGAAGGGATTGCACCAGTGATCACAGGCTGCTTAAGGGAGTAATGATTATGCACAAGTTGAAATATGTATTATCATTATTATTATTATTATTATTATTATTATTATTATTATTATTATTATTATTATTATTATGTTCTGTAAAAAAGCACCCCCTATATGCTCCCCATATGCGCCTACATTTCGAGATTTCAGGAGTTTACACTGCCTGGGGTAAACTGGTGTTTAAACTCCTGGTGTCCTTGGAGAAGGTAAGCAGAAGAAGGAAGGCATAGAAGACTTAGTGTGTGAAATAAAGATCATTTTCTTCCTGAGTATCAAAGGTGCATTTATCACATTGAATTTCATCTGCCATTTTGTGGCTCCGTGGTGTAATACCAAGAGATCCTTCTGCAGAACTTCAGAACTGGCTTCATTCTGACTCTCCCAGAGAGTTTTGTGTTGTCAGAGGTTGCTGTCATACCACAATTGATTCTTTTATCTAAATTGTTTATGAATTTGTTGAACCACACAGATCTTGCTATCTTTCTCCTGTCATGAAAAATTACTTTATTCCCTAGGTGTGAATCCAATTTGCCAATGTTTCTGATATAAAATTGAATATTACATAGAACACACGTTTCTAGCTTTTCATTATGTGGGTATGTGTGTGTATTTGTATGAGTGGTATTTATTTGTATTTGGTCTATATACAACGTGTAGGTATGCATGTGTCTATGTATATATGTGTGTGTGCTTGTATACTTATTTTAAAGAGAAGTATCTGAATTTTCGTGATTGGTAGTTTTATATTATGTTGCTCTTTGAAAGAGCTGCAATATCTCTATTGTAAAGTCTATACATCCAAAAAATTGTCTGCTAACGCTGATAACACATGAAAATAAAGACAGTGTCACTTTATTTGGCCGCAAAAATGTATAATTCTGGATAATCACTGTAATGTGGTTTGTTTATCTTAGTTTGTGTGATGTTTGGCAGGGGGTTGGCATATTTTTGCCAGTGTTTTCTCTTTTATTGTTTTTAGAAAATCCACACAGTTTGTGAGTTAGCTTGGAAGCAGACCTGGCTGAACCCAGGAACCAGCAGATCTTCCTCTCATGGTACTGTGGTATGTTTTGAAAAGGCTCTCTGATTGAGGTTAAATGCTTCAAAAACATTGCTTAAATTTATCTGTAACAGGAATTCAAGGGGAAGAAAATGGAATAGAATATTAATATGACTGACCTGAGCACCTGCTCCCCTTTAATGTAGACACAAAGTCTTTCATGTGGATTTTTTTTTTTTTTTTTTTAATCAATAGAAGTTTTATTTGGGACGAGGAAAGAAAAACCAGGAAAACCACCCTCTTTGCCATGACTTCCAGTCAGAAATCTCAAACGAAAAAATAAGGCATCCCTGCACACCTCAGACCTTCAGCAGATGTTCTGCAATCTGACAGTCTCAGACTCACGTTATTCTTGCCTGGCTTGTAGAAATAATTTTCCATTAATGAGATGAAAGGATCCGTTCAAGATAGTTCTTCTGAAACGCTGTGCTTGGATTGACAGTACACTTTGTTATGATTTGACTAAAGTTCCAGTGTGTTTATATTTTGTACAGATGCTTTCGACTATGTTTTAGGTCTTTGCATTTCTAATGAAAAGTGAACTGAAAGATAACAGAAATCTTCTACATGAGTAACTCATTTAGCCAACACATTTCTCTGTTTCTAAAGGATGCCCTTTACCAACCATTCTGTTTTCTAAAAATTTAAACAAAAGTCACTTTATCCACATGAATAACCTAATTGACTACAGTGTGACTACTTACATACGCTGCATGAAGGCGTATGATTAAATTTAGTCAAGCCTAGGGAATGTAAATGGTGTCATGTAT